AAAAACGCGACGCGTGCTGTTTGTTTATGGAGCTCCGTTCTAGAGTTCTGCTCCCGCGATTTATTCGGAAATTTATTCCCGCGCCGCAGAAATCTGGCGCGGGGACAGCCGCGGGAATAAATTTCCGAATAAATCGCGGGAGCGGTCGGTAACGGGTTTAATTTGGGACGGGAGCGGGCTGTCTAGCAATATCACGGATATTGCTATGCGAATTAGAAAGAGAGAGTTTGCGTGGTGCTTGTGTGTTTGTTAGTGCGCACGCGCGCGTATGAGAGAGAGCGAGAGAGAGAGAGCGAACGAACGAACGAACGAGCTTTGTGTGCTTTGTGCTGTGTGTGTGTGTTTATACAGACAGCTTGGCTGTCTGGACTGTATACTGGGTGATTTTTGGTTGTGTTCTCCGCTCTAGCGTGACCGGGCGCGGCGGGCAGAAAACGGAGCGGGTTCTCAGGCTAAAACCTGGCGGGTGCGGGCGGAAGCGGGAGCGTTGTCATCCGGAGGTGTGTGTGTGTTTTTGTGTGTGTGTGGTATGGCGAGTACACGACTGTCTCCTTCGTTCGGTTATCCGTGGCACTATCCACTCGCCATAGTGTGGCAGCTAAAATCCACGTCTACACTATCGAGCGTGTATGAACTGCGATTACTTTTTAAATTGCTGATTAGCTATTGGCCATTTCCCTCTCTGACTGAAGGCAGTCGACCAATCGCGACAGACTGTCATCGGTCCAATTAGCGCAGATTAGCTTCGCGCTAAGGAGGGGTTTGGGAACAAATGAATCACTGGACGATTCATACGGGAGTCGCTGGGATAATTAGCTAAAAATAAATGCAGATTATAAGACCATGAAAGTTTTTTGACCTTGCATGCATATTAGACTGTTGTTGGAGACCCTTACAACCAGGATATGACCCTATTTCATGTATAATATGGGCTCTTTAAGGCTCGTTAGAAATCTACAGGTAATGTTGAAGCAGGGTGGGAACTAAACTCTGCTGCGCTGCAGTCCTCCAGTAACTTGGAGTTTGACCCCCATGGTATATAGCAGGGGTGCTCAATCCTGTTCCTGGAGATCTACGTTCCTGCAGATTTCAGTTGCTACCCATATCAAACACACCTGCCTGTAACTATCACGTGGTGTTCAGGTCCTAATTAATTGGTTTAGGTGTGTTTGATATAGATAGCAACTGAAATCTGCAGGAGGGTAGATCTCCAGGAACAGGATTAAGCACCCCTGGTATATAGCATACTTTTAAAGCACCTGCTAACATTTATCACAATCACATATCCAATAAACACACACACACACACACAAAGTGCTGCAGTGAAATGTGTTACTCTCTCCCCATGCAAAAAAAAAAAAAAAAAAAAAAAACTGAACAGCAAAAAACACAAAATAATTATTTTAAATTTTAAAGTTTTAAATAATTAACAGCTCTGTCAAATCTCAAAAAGTTTAAAATAATTATAGAAAACAAAAATAAAGTTGGCAACACCGAAAAACCAAAGGATCCAATCTTTTATTGTTATAATTATCTCATGACAACAAACTTTTTTATTGTTTCAAATATAAATTCATAGGTGGAAACACAGCTCTGAAAAATACTTAGCAACAAACTCACAACCTGGGACCGGACAGTGGAGCTTTTGTGTGTGGATGGCTATGTGTATCATGTTTTTGTAATTCCCTGTGATGATGTGCACATGTTACCTTACTGAGATGATGGAATTTAATTTTGGCTTAGTTGAAAGATACATACAACTTTTAGCATCTGTACATTATGGCAGTATGCAATATCCAATAAATACATAAACTTAAACAAAAGTAATGTAAGAAGTTATATGAGGAGAGGCTAACTAGCTAACAATGTAGCTTTCAAGTACACAGTTCAAGATAACAACAATATAACTTAAAACACAGCCTTATTTTAGAAACCCTCAAAAATATTTGAACACATTTTACTTACTCATTGTAGATTCTTATTTAAAGCCTAAAACATATCAGACTCTACATCTGAATTGATGGACAGAGAATAAAGCACACTCAGCAGTAAACAAATCAAACACCTGGCTCCCTTAAAGGGCCAGCATTTTCTGAAAACTCTTTCTAACATCTTTGTGTTTAGAACAAGACAGACAGCATGTGGGAGTATGTGGTGATGCCTAAATCATTGTTTTTTACAGTTATTTACTGCACAATCTACAGAGTAAAAGTGCAGTTATACTAATTAAACACACCTGATCAAACTAAATCCAAAGGTAGTGTGTTGAAGCAGGGCTGGAACTAAATTCTACTAGGCTGTGGCCTTCCAGGAGTTTGACACCCCTGGTACATAGCATATTTTCAAAGCAACTGCCTACAATTATCACAGTTATGCACATATCGTTTAATAAAAACACTAAAAATATATTATAATATAAACTTCAACCATAGAAAAATAAATAAATAAATAAATAATCTGATTCTCATGTCGTTCCAAATCTGTAGTAATAATAAAAAGCACAACAAATATCATGATTTATACATTTATTTAGGAAAGCCTTTATACTGTTAATGGCACTTTTACTTGCCAGTTTTGTATGTGTGTGTTGTTTAAGATATATATATATTTTTTAAATAACACATTTTTACTAGTTATTTAGCAAAATACTAATATTCAGTTGAAAGTGCAATTTAACTATAGTTTTAACTATAGGTCAAACTAGGCAATTAAATTAGATTAATTATTGAAAAAGTAAACAAAGTTATAAAAATTATTGTGACAATTTCTTTGCTCTGTGTGAATATTTTTGCCTTTAAATGCATTTCGTCCATATCTTACACTTACCTTTTAATAAGCTCTGTGGCATTGGTTGACTCCTGATACTCAATGTTAAAAACATAAAAGGAACCAAAGAAAACACAGAGATAAAATAAATATAAAATAGCAACATAAAGCATCAGAGTAGATGAGGCAGTAATGGTTGAACAGTAATTTACCATTTATTATCACAGTAAATATCTGTAATGGTACATAGAGTAAATTGCTGTAATTTATTCTTTGCACTACAGAATTTCATACAAATCCTGCTCTTTTTACAGTAAAATACTGTTTCTTTTCATTACAGCTAAACACTGGCTATTTTACAGTTATTTACTGCATAATCTACAGTAAGGGTTAACAGTGTACCAAAAGACTACTGCGTCACGCCTTGCGCCACACTGCGCCGGGTGTATGATAGGGCCCTTTATCACAGGGAATCACAAAAAATATGATACACATAGCCATCCACACACAAACCTCCACTGTCAGGTCCCAGGTTGTTAAAAAAACACAGTAAAAAAACCTGGTAAGGTCTAACAGTGCAGGGAACAAGAAGTAACAAGGGGGGGACAATGCTTCACTTTAATTTACAACCCTCAAATGTGGCATTTACCCTTTAACTACAGGGAGCAAGGGGGTAACAAGGGAGGAACAGTGCTTCACTTTAATTTACAACCCTCAAATGTGGTATTTACCCTTTAACTACAGGGAGCAAGGGGGTAACAAGGGAGGAACAGTGCTTCACTTTAATTTACAACCCTTAAATGTGGTATTTACCCTTTAACTACAGGGAACAAGCGAGAAACAAATACTCTATTTACCCTTTAACTACAGGGAACAAGGAAGGTAGAAGCTGATCTTTAACGCACTAATGTATACTTGAACACTAAGAACAGAAAACTACAGCAGCATTTTTTATTAATTGAAGACCAAACTACTACATTTTATTTATAAAGCATCATCTATACGTTCACTGAAATGCAACAGTTATCCCCCTTCTGCAAACAGCAGTAAAGATGCGAGCCTGTTTTAATCTACATTGAACCCTGATGGTAGGCTTTATCATGCACACAATATGTATACAATACTTGAAGAAAAGTACATTGTAAACGAAATATACTTACGCGGTTCTTTGCATGATAAATGTTAACCCCCTATTAAGCAAACATTATGGTTTGTTCCTTTGTAATTTAAAGAAAAGTACACCGTTATTTCACTGTACTTACGCTGTACTTTTCATGCTAAATATCTGGTTGTTATCCCCTTATTACCCAAGCATCACAGTTTGTTCCCTTATACCTACAAAAATGTTATTTATACTTACACTTTTCGTACAGAAAAGTAGTTGTTTCACTGTACTTACGTGGTAGTTTTCGTGCTGAATATCCAGTTGTTACCCCCTTATTACCCAAGCATTACGGTTTGTTCCCTTATACCTACACATACGTTCATTATACTTATACAATACGTACAGAAAAGTACACTGTAATATCACTGTACTTACCGCTTGCCTTCTGACCATCTGCCTGTTATTTTTACTACGACTCTTGATTGCCCTTGTACATCTGTTTGCTCCTGTATTGATCATTGCTTGCCTGACCATCCTGTTAATAAAACACTGAGTTTGGATCCTCTCCTCCATTGTCAGCATCACTTCTCAATTACAATATTAGTCTTTATAAATGATCTGTTTATAAAATACATAATCTATGAGTTAAATACATGGGTCCCACTTTATATTAGGTGTCCCTAACTACTATGTACTTACATCAAAAAAATAAATACAACGTACTTACTGTGTTCATAATGTATTTGAGAACACTTGTGGTGCTTTTGAGTTGGAATAGAGGTTGGGTTATGGACAGGTTTGGTGGCATGGGTAGGTTTAAGGGTAGGTTAAGGTGTAAGGGATGGTCAACAGTGTATTTACAAATGTAACTACAAAAGTTAGTTACAGATGTAATTACATACATGTATTTAATCAAGCATAAGTACAAAGTAAATACATGTATTTACACAATAAGTACATTGTAGCAAACTATTAGTTCCTATGTAAGTACATATTAGTTAAGGTTACTTAATATAAAGTGGGACCAATACCGGTTATATTGTAGTCAAATTCTTTATAAAACATTCTGAAAGCAAATACATTTTTCACTGTGGAGAGCCCTGATAAAGAAGGAAGTAAGGACAGTGAGTAATATATTTAAACTTTATAATATTTTCGCTGATGTGTATACATAAAAAAACATAATATTATACATAAAACAGTACACTAACTAGAATCATATTTTCCAAAAAATACTGGTTAAATGCCCAGGAAGATACTCCACCTACAAAAAAGGAGCCTGAAAACTATAAAAGAAGAATACTATGATGAAGCACAATTAATAGTCCACAATTCTAAACTATAAAAATAAGTATATCACACCTTTAGCATGGCAAATGACACTGTTGAAGTTTTTGGATAAAAGTTGTTGATAAAATCAACAATGATCTATAAAGAAAAAACTGGAGTTGTGTCGGTGTCAGACATAACAGAGGGTTTCTTGTTAGTGTCTTGCAGTTTACAGTTTTCAACTGATCCTAAGCCACAGGACATGCACTGAAGTAGGCTCAGGAGATCTTTCTGGAAACGAACCCCAATAAAAACATACAGAATGGGATTCAAGCAACAGTGTGTGTAAGCAAGACTCTTCACAATTTGCCCAACCATATCTAATCTTTGCATGACTTCACAGTCTGTAATTGTGGCATTGTTGGCTTGGCCTGCTTCTATAATAAGGTATCCATTAAGCGGCAACTGTGAGAAAACAAAAACAGCCACAACTGCAATAATTACCCTTAAAGCCTTGTGTTTTTCAAAGCTCCGAGCCTGCATCAGTTTACGAATAATGACAGAGTAACACAAGACAATGACCATAAATGGAACTAGGAAACCGACACAAATCTGCAAAGCCAACACCAAAACTTTTGTACGGTTATTATCCATTATTGAGTATACCATGACACATGAGTTGTGCTGTGGCTCAATGTTTTTCACTTTGGCAAAAATAAATTCTGGTAGAGCTAAAATGCAGGAGGCCAGCCACACAAAAGCACATGTAATCTTACTATGTAACATGCGTTTGTTTTTGTAGTTGTGTGCTTCAGTTACATGGACAATGGCAATGTAGCGATCCACACTAATGCAAGTGAGCAAGAGCATACTAGCAAAAAAGTTGATTTTGTATGCGGCTGAAACTCCTTTGCAAATGACCTGGTGGAACACCCATCCCTGAGCTGCATTTGTTGCCCAGAAGGGCAATGTACCTAGGAAAATAAGATCAGCCACTGCCAAGTTCAGCAGGTACACATCGGTCATGGTCTTGAGACGGTTCCGCACAGTTGTGAAGATGCAGATAACCAGTAGGTTGCCCAAAGCCCCCACAACAAAGATGATCCAGTAGAGAGGAGGCTCAAAGTTCTTACTGAACTGTCGCACCAATTCTTTGCTACATAATCCATCCAGTTCTGGTTCGTAGTCATCAGTATCAGTAATCTAAAATATAAAAAAGACATGTTCAGGCATTAAAAATTCTGTGCCATTAACAATTTTTATACAAAGGAACATAAAAATTGCAAATATGTGACAAAAGATGGAAAAATTTCATATATAGTGTGTCTCTTTGTTTAAATATTTTTCTTGGTCAGTTATCTTCTTGATAAAATAAAAGAATGAATAACATTTGAGGTGAAGTGCTTCAAATCCGCTATGCTTTAACAATGCCGAATCACAAACTGGATTGTCAAATAAAATAATATTTTAGCCCAAATAAACTTAAAGTAAAATATTCAGTTTCATATTCAAGCCTATGTTTAACTGTTTTCCATCTTGCGCCGGTAAATTACAATTCAATACATTTCATCAAATAATTTGAACGAGCAGGACAGGCATTTACAAATTTGCATATAGCATTTGCAACAGCACTGAACATGTTCCCACATTAACTCGGTGGACCTAACTCAGTTGAAAGGTGAGAAAACTCAGAAACTCGTGAAAATGGAGATGTCTGCTTATTTATGCCAGTCTGTCTGTCAGATAAAATTGTTTAAAACACATTGAATGGTAGCTGTTTCATGTGAGGATACTTCACAGCAGCTGGATCTGATCTGTTTGATGAAAGAGATTTCCCCGGCTTAGGTGCTGATGAGACAGTCCCACTTCGTGTTGGGATCAGTATTTGTCTCATTAGTTTTAGGCCTTTTAGCAAAGGTCTTGATTAAGTTGATCTGTTTTAATGAGCGTGAAAGCATTTTGAACCTTGTTTTAAAAAAATAGCTATCTGAATTTTAAGTTTTAGGTGCAAAATTAATGCTGTAAACACACAAATGCACACTTTTATTTGTTGTCATTCTTTTTTAATATAATATATTAAAATAATTATAATTATTAGTAATGAGATTGTGTCTAGAGGTAAAATACATAACTGAACCTAAACATTAGCAAATATTTAAAATAAATAATTTGGTAAAACTTTAGAATACAGCCCACAGATTACATAGTAAGTACAATTTACAGTGGAATATTTTGTAATAATAATGTATTTATACAGTAAGTACAAGTAAGTATAAGAGAACACGATGATAGGTTTGGGGAAAGATTAAGAGGGGTCTGGATGCATACCTGGTGCAGTGCATTCTGAGCTGCATTCCAATGCTTTTTAATGGCCTCATCTTAACCCACCCCTAACCCTACCCCTCACAGTGCCGTCACTAGCTCCACTGAGTGCATTGTGTTTGACATTGCATCACTGAGAGATTTAATCTCAGCATGCTTCATAAAGGCTGCATCCAGATACTATTGAACAAATTAAGTACCACTTTAATTTACAGCCTGTCACGGTCACCAGCTAGAGTGAAGACCAGACACACCAGAGGGCACTCTACACATCACATCTACTGTACCACTGAGCTGGACTACACATTCCATAATCCAATACACCTGACACCTGATGTTCATGAACTTTGATTACTTTACACCCGCAGCTCAGTATATACATAGCTCTGAGATTCAGTCTGTGTTTGTTCGCCATTGAATGTTTGCATGTGGTTGCTGTCTATTCTCTGATGGATGTCTTTGGACTGTTCCTTGTTTTTTCTTCTGTTGTTCTTGTCTTTGTTTTGTATTTTGTTTTATTTAAATTAAATAGTTGCATGTGGATCCACCTCTTGCATTTTCCCTGAACCAATGTTACAGAACCCACTAACTTCATGTAAAATCTACTATTTATACCTTATGCCAATCTACTACATCTACACCACCATCACATCAAAGAGTATGCTCTGAAGTTCAGTTTACGTGGAAAGTTTAGTTTGCATCCTTGTTTATCATTGTGTTTGAGAACGAGCAGTAACTACAACTGCTTCATTCAGGAAATCATTTACGGATGTTATTGTACTTAATAATTACAGATGTTACTTTTACTCATTTAGATTTTGAGTACAAGTGACTACATAGATTCGCAACACATCTGTAATAATTTAATGCTACATTAGAGGGTTTCACATAGAGAAATTAAGAAAAAATGCAACATACTCTAATTATGTACAGACCGTTGAATTAAATAAGATCTAATCTACACAATATATTTTGCTGACAACAAAATCAATTAATTCAAATAAATGCCTTTAACATATGACTCAATAGTAGGATACAGCTTATGTAAATAAAATAAACAAAAATAAAAAAAATGATGATTTTTTTTAATTAATTGTTGTTAATTATTAGAGGTCTTTATAATTGTGTACAAAGATAGTAAGTCCAGCAATAGGAGGTAAAACTGATAGAAAAAAAAATCATAACAATGCTAGTTTTTATTTAACACCAGTCTTTGGATCAAAATGTCCCATCGCAAATTAGTAGTGATGAAATAGTGGTGAACCTTTTCAGAGAAAAAAAGAAGGCTAGCATGCTAGAAAAGTTATTTCATATTTATTTCCAGGAATAAATTGAAACTATGACCCTTTAACCTCACAGCATTATCATCAGGTATTTGTGCACATACATATAAGGTCTTAAAATATTATTTTGATTTAAAGTAATTGTTTTATATGTTTAAATATTATTTATTCTTATGTTTAAAGCTTTTGTCACATGATACATAATAATATAATACAATAATATATATATATAAATGTTCGTGCTAGCATTTAGGTTTTAAGTGTTTAAGTGTGGCGCAAGGCGTGACGCAGTAGTCTTTTGGTAGTTTAAGGGCCCTATCATAGACCCGGCGCAGTGTGGTGCAAGGCGTGGCGCAGTAGTCTTTTGGTAGTTTCAGCTTGGCGCAAGAGTCTGTTTAAATAGCAAATGCATTAGCACTCATTTTTGCGCCCATATGCGTTCTGGTCTAAAAAGGAAGGCGTTCTGAGGCGGACCGCTGGCGCATTGCTATTTTGAGAATCTATAATAGATTTTTCATTAGACCAAAACTAAACCGGTCTAAACTCCGGCGCAGTGTTGCGCCTCGCTTACGCACTGCTTAATACGCACAAGAGAGCAATAGGCAAATATCTTTACATATGAAAACATTCAAATATTAAGGATATATTTAGTATATAATAAGAATAGATATATAGAATATATAGAATATAAATATAAAGGATTAAAATATTACAAAACATTATTTTCTAGCCTACACCTTATGAGGTGCCGTATAGGATTTAAATCAAACTTTGCTTATCAACACATACATAAAACACGTGTATATACACCTATAAATTACTCGCATATACACCTATACTACTGGATGTTCAAAACAACATGGAATTAACTTGTGTATATACATATAAACTTGACGCATGAATACACCCACATACACACGCACATATAAACTCGATCCTCACATAAACACTCACAATAACACACGCACATACATATAAACTTGCTGCATGCAAACACACCTATACACACTTATATATACATATAAACTCGATTCTTGCATAAATACCCACATTTACATGCACATACATATAAACTCGCAGCATGCAAACACACCTATACATAATCGCATATACATATAAACTCGGTCAATGCATATACACCCTCAACAACACGCCCACATACACAAACTCACTGCATGCAAACACACCTATAAAATCTCACGCAAACATACAAAAAATAAATAATAAATAAAATTCACAAACGTTTATCACGAATCTGGTTATTGCAAAGCTTATGAAATAGAAATAATGTGATTAATAGAGATATTAAATATGTTAAATTATGAACATATGTTATATAAAATATTAGTCTACATAAATAGACTATTCAAAATAAGAAATATTTTTATTTAAAAACTTTTCATTTAATTAGGTAATTACATACACAAATATAAATGGACAGATAGAACCCTTAAATGATATTCAAAAAGAAACCAGAATTATAAATATAAATGTATACTTAAACTAAACTCCTCTTTTCTATTGCAAATGTTAATGTAGCCTACAGTCTTCTTGTTTTGTTTTTAAAATTTTTATAATTATTATGCTTTTTATATGTTTTTACAATGTGGGTGTCAAAATTGCAAGATTCTGGTACCATTTTGATTGTTAATTATTCAGCATAGACAAAAAAAAAAATGCTGATTAAAAGTCTCTGCTCATCATGTTGGTCAAGTTAACCCCCATGGAAAAGCTATATATATTATCTGTACACTCCTTTTGTGTTTAATAACTACTACTTATATTTTTACAGCAGCTGGCATCCAGCCTTTTGGTGCATTAGCCTGTTTATTGGTGACAGGAAAACCCACTTAAGTGCATTCCTGCCCCCTACTGGACATAAGTGTGTATCATAACCCTTGACGAATAGTGACACCAATAATAAAACAAACATAAAAAAATAATATTAGACAAACATATTTTATTCAAAATGATTACTTAAGCCACCTTATATTTATTAAACCATAATAACATTTCCAATAATTTAATTGCATAATAAACCTTTAATTTTGCAGGAGCATTACCTTTTTATTTTATTTTTTTTAGAATTAGCATAATCTATTTTCATAATTCAACAGATGTAATTCCTCTATTAATCACATTATTTCTGTTTCTTAAGGTTTGCAATAACCTGATTCATGACAAATAATAATCTTGTTCTTTTACGTTGAAATTAAACTACTTCCTTTTAAAGTGAAATAACTTCCTTTTACTGTGAAAATTCATGCGTACACACATCTGAAATCACTTGCATGTATGTATATACACAACTTACTGTATATATGTTTGTGAATTTTATTTTGTATGTTTGCACAAGTGTCATTTGGGTATTTATGCACACATCAAGTTTATATTCTTATGTGAGAGTTTATGGATGTATATGCATAGATCAAGTTTATATGTATATGCGAGTGTGTATAGGTGTGTTTGCATGCAGCAAGTTTATATGTATGTGCGTGTGTTAATGTGAGTGTTTATGTGAGGATCGAGTTTATATGTATGTGCGTGTGTATGTGGGTGTATTCATGCGTCAAGTTTATATGTATATACACAAGTTTCATCCCTGTTGTTTTGAACATCCAGTAGTATAGGTGTATATGCGAGTAATTTATAGGTGTATATACACGTGTTTTATGTATGTGTTTATAAGCAAAGTTTGATTTAAATCATATACGGCACCTCATATCATAACATCTCAGCAAGCTTTAACAATCTAAATGTGCAAAACACAGCTCAGCTCAGGTGCAGGTGTCTCTAGTGGAGAAACCACACAAGTACACCACATCCTCTTTCAACGCTTTCTGAAGCATGCATAAACGAGTGTCACCTGCCACAGTGGTCGTTATAAACAGGGCCCCTCCGAAGCATGTGAAACCCTAAATTCTTTTCCATCCTGACATACATAGAGATAACAGATAAACAATATTAGATGCACAAAGTGGAAATTCCTCTACTTGTGTTGAATAGTTACATAGTTACACAATGTTGCCTAATCTGTCTGAGATAAGAGAAAGACACAGATTAGTAGGTCACTGTACTTGACTTCTTATTCAGAAAATAGAAAATATACAGTAACAGGATGAGAGATTGTTGCTTGGTGATATGCTTTGCCATGGGCAGCATTTGTTTTTTGACTAATGCAAAAATTGACAGATTTTGACAAATCTATTAGATAATAATTAGATAAACACTATGTTAAATATGCATGAACTTAATACTCACCAAGTTGGTAAAATCTGTAAAATTAAACGCACCACTTTCATCTATTAGGAGAAAAAACATACAATTACTGCAAAAGGTATAATTGAAATCTGTTTACACATATTGTATTTCAATAATAATGCATTGTTTCGATAATTCAAATCATAGTAAACATGATCAAATATATGACCTGAGGGGAAAAATATATATATATACTTAGAGGAAAAATATGGTGTAGGAATTAATATCAGAATAAAAGGGTTTCTATGGTCATAGCACAGGCTTTACTCATGAATATAAGAGACCAAAACAATGACATTTGTCTTCTCAAAAGACCTTGTACAAAGAAATTCCAACTTTAACATTTTTAATGTGTAAACATTATGGCCAAAGACCATTTATGATGGGTAAATCCCAGTGATTAAAGTTGCACTTTGTTGTGTATATATGTTTTCAAACAATGTGTATATTATTTGCATAACCACATTAAATCATATTTTGTCATCTTGGAATTATAAGGTTCTATTTTTGTTCTGAATGATTTTGAGATATTATGCTTTAAAGTTTTTCCATTCCATAACAGACAGTGTGTGTAAAATCAGTTTTTTTTTTAATATAAAAAGTCCCAAAATTTAAACAGCTTCTAAAAAAATCCCATAATGTAAATAAGTTGTCATTTAATAAGAATATGTCAATAACTCAATTTTGCCAAAAATGTCAGATAGAACCTCATAATTCGAAGGTGACGATATAGTTTTCTTGATTTTTAATACTTACATTCTGAAGTTGTGGAGATATCCATGCTCTGTTCTCTCTGGCTCTCACAACAGTCAGCTAGAATACAACTATTGTTCTGTGTTGAACCTCATGTTGCCTTTAACTAGTTTATAAAACCACAAAGTCACGTGTCTAAGCAAAGTACCATGAAACCTTCAGAACCCCTGCTTTGAACCAACTTTGTCTGTTGTCACTGAAGTTTAGGGACACAGAAATACATTTTAAGAGGTAGAGGCTCAAGTGGAAAAAAGAACAAATTTCTTATTTATTCAGTCAGGGAATTTAATGTGTAATGACACCAAACACAGGATGAAAAATCCTTAGGCCACTTATTCTAGACTGCACTAAGAACAGCGCTGTGTTACATATGCAAATTTTGGACTACTAGACTAGAAAAGCTTAAGCTTGAATGCAGCCACTGAAAATAATAAGTTAGCTTTTTCACATCAAAATGTGTTATCCTATTTTCTTATGTTCACAATAGCTAGAAATATAATATTATGTCAATGGAAGCAGCAGTTCATGCTGAAAGAAAACAAACAAATAATTGTAAGTCATCAACCAACAAAGTTGTCAGTATTTTGTGTTAAAATGCGATTTGTTGCAATATGAACACTTTGCAAATTTTCTCCCACCATTAAAAACTCAGTTCCTGAGTTTTACATCAATGAATATGTAATCATAAGAATTTAAATAAAATTAATGAAATTATTTAAACTTACAGTTTGTCAGCTCTCAACAACATAGACACACACAGCTATAAACAGCTGCAAATGACTAATTTCCTATGCAAATAATAAAGAAACAAAATACAATAAATTCTCTTTTAAGACATGATGATTTGAACCTAACACTTTCAAGGAAATATAAAAACACATTTTATAAGCACTTTTACAACCAATAAAAGTAATAAAAAAAAAAAAAACAGTGTGTCTTTTCTGTCACACAATGGACCTTGGATAGACTGTTCTTCCCTTCAAGAGTTCACACTTAGCTAATGATTGATTATAAAGCTTGTTTGGCATGCTGTCCCGCAAGAGAGCCCTGAGTTCATAAAATCCTCGAGCTCGGGACTCCCCCCTACGATTTGCAAGGCGAGAGGGGAGTTTGATCTCTGGTGGATCTTGAGAACTCCCCTGCTGTATTAGCTAATAAACAGATAGTGATTGCTCTTAAGAGATAAGTACTTAGTAGAAGCATATCTATGGTGCCGATTTGGATTAGTCAATTAAATAAAGTTGCATGTTTTTGGACGGTGGGAAGAAACCGGGGAACCCAGGGGAAACCCACGTGAGCACGGGGAGAACGTGTATACTGCACACAGAAAAGTCAGCTGGCTTGATAAGTACTAGAAACAGTAACGTCCTAGCTTTGTCTACTAGTCCAGGTGTGGAAGTCATCCAGGCACTCGCCGTTCTCCACCCACAACATCATACTCTGGTGGAGTTGAAGCAAGACCAACATCAACGGTTCCAAGTCCTCTAGGAGGCCCAGCGAGAGGACTGCGAACTAATCCGGAGTCTGCTGTCCTAGGAGATCTGGCCCGCTTCGACTTCTGCCGCCCACCATCTCATCACTTTCCAGTAGATGGTGGTGCAGGACGACCCGGAAGAGTTTCACAATCTATTCGAGAAGATGGTGGAGGTGTGTGGCTGGCCACTGGCTGAGTGGCCGGTATGTGTCATCCCGCTGCTCTCGGGCGAAGCGAGCCATTCTTCAGCGGACCAGCCGCAATCCGGAGGAGCAAGGTCAGAGTTTCCGGTCCCTGATGCTGACTGAAAGGCTGGCCCTTCGTGTTCACCGAGCAGCTCCATGAAGCCTGTCGCAGATGGCTGTACAAGATGGCCTGACCACCGTCCAGGTGGTGGATGCCGTGGTACTGGAACAGTTCATCACCCGCCTCCCCTCCCGAACATCGGAGTGGGTCCAGAAGATCTGGAGATTGCCATCCGGCTAGTGGAGGATCACCTGGTGGCAAGGTCCAGGGTTTGCGAAATAACCTCTCTCCCAGACATGCGGAGACCGCCCACACTAGCACCCAGATATTGTTGCACCGATGCAGATCTGCCAAGCGTCCCAAGAGGGGCGGGGCCCTATTCGGGCAAAGTGGTGGAGCAACGACCCCTGGCGGTTCCACAGAAAGCGCCAGGTTTCTCTCCGGTTCAAACGGGGTTTCCTGCTGGCCCCGGGGGTATAGAGAGAAGGGCTGGGCCGATGCATTGGCGTCGCGGGGATGAGGATAGCGCACCAAAAGTCTGCTCCATGAAGGATGTGAGTGCATTGATTTGCGTCCCTGGTACGCCAATCGTCGGCCCCGGTCGCTACGGGCTACACCGGATACCAGTGAGTATAAAAGGGGGTACATATCAAGTTTTGGTGGACTCGGGGTGTAACCAAACCTCCATCCAACAAAGCTTGCTTCAAGACCTGGCATTGGATACAAGCTGCATGGTAAGGGTAAGGTGTGTGCACAGGGATGTAATACACTACCCGCTAACGGCAATAGATACTATATTTTAGGGGTAAAAGCATAGCCGTCTGGAAATGCCGGCCCACAAACAGACGGGCTGGTGGAAAGGTTTAATCGCACGCTTTAATCAATGATCCGTAAGTTCATTCACGAAGACGTGAAGAATTGGGATAAGTGGTTGGAGCCCTTGTTATTTGCTGTGCGGGAGGTTCCCCAAGCCTCCACGGGGTTTTCCCCCTTTGAGCTTCTCTACGGCAGACAGCCCATAGGGGTTTTGGAGGTCATTAGAGAGGTTCGGGAGGACGAGCCTTCTAATAGTAAAAATGAAATTCAGTAAATTCTGGACCTTAGAGCAAAACTCCACACACTGGGGCAGTTCTCTACAGAGAATTTGCTTAAAGTCCAGGATGACCAACGCCGGGGATATGACAAGGGTACTAATCTACATCTGCTGAAGCAGTGGAGGGAGATAGAGGAAGTGGCGCTGGCTACGCTTGTAACTAACAAAAATGATCTGTATATGCAGGCCAGACGGCTCCCCGGCCTAAGGCGGGCGGTGGGGGTTTGTGGAGAGGTGAGCGTGATTGAACACCCGATAAGGGGGGAGAGCATGATTGGAGCCTGGCGGCTAATCAGCAGGCCAATCAGAAATGATAAATAACACCTGTTTTTCTAGTGATAGGCCCGGAGAGATTCCCTTCTTAAGGAGAACGGGAGGTGCAGTAGGGAGAGGAGAGAAACATACACAGATAAAGTGTTGTGGTGGCTATTATTGAAAAATTAAAGATATTTACTTACCTGAATCGCCGACCCTGTCTTCTTCCCACAACAACAACGAACATTACTACACAGGCTATGTTACAAATATTTGACCAACTGCCACTTCATGTAAAACACTCAAATGCACTCAGAACTAGTGCCAGTTATGAATTAAATAAATGGGCATATCCGCACGCAAAGTGAGCCGCTTATTATTTATCGTCTGTGTAACAGAGTTGAAAAGATAAGATAATATAATTCATCAGAGTGAATAATATGAAATTAGGCATTATAAATAAGATGGTGTTTGAGTGCCCCCTTGTGGTTGATAAATTGCAGGAGTATATTGTCCCTTTGAGATCGGTGTGACTGTGTAAGGTAAGCGCAGCTCGTCTCTCGCAAACTGATTAAAAAGGCATAATATAAACAATTTTATATCATTTCATCGATTGAAACAGATGTGTATGTTGTGTAAATAATACATTAGTTCATGTTTTGATTTCCTAATGTTTATTTTGGAACGATTTAGATGATTTGTGTTTTGCTAGCTGAAACATTACATTGCTAAGGCATTTTAGTGTTGTATACAATATCCCAACAAGAGAGTTTTTGTATTTTTCCCTTTTAGAGAGAGAGCTGAATGTTAATCCTGCACTTTACTGCACTACATATTTTTGTTTTATCTCAGACGGAGAAAATAAATCTGATTGAGTGCAATGGTAGATGGCTTCTTTCATTGAGTCCAAGATCTGAGTTAATATGGACGGGTGTGTTTTTGATGGGACACCCGTTACATCTGTTCATCTTTTATTGTTCTGGTGCACAAGTCTGATGGAAGTTTAAGGCTGTGTGTCAATTATTTGAAGTTGAACTCCAAGACTAGACATGATGCTTTCCCATTGCCACGCATCGACGAGAGCTTGGATGCGTTAAGTGGAGCACAAGTATTCTCGACTATAGACCTGGCTAGTGGTTACCATCAAGTAAGAGTTGATGAAAAGGACAGACCTAAAACGGCCTTTACTACACTGTTTGACCTTTTTGAGTACTGTCGCATGCCCTTCGGGCTATGTAATGTGCCCGCAACATTTCAATGGCTAATGCAAGACTCCATGAGTGACCTGGGGTTTCAAATTGTGCTTATTTACTTGGATGACTTGCTGGTGTACTCCTCCACCTTTCATGACCCCTTGGTGAGTCTGGAAACAGTGTTTAGAAGGTTAAGAGAAACTGGGCTAAAAAATAAATACAGAAAAGTGTCATTTTCTGCAGCCAGAGGTGAAATTTCTTGGCCATCAAGTTTCTGCCCAAGGTGTGAGTACAGATCCTGACAAAATAAGTGAAGTTCGGGAGTTGCCTGTCCCTAGCACTCTCAAGTAACTCTGATCATTTTTGGGGTTCGGTAGCTATTACAGGAGATTCATTGAAGGGTTCTCCCAGATAGCTGGACCGTTGCATGATGTTGTAAACTTGTGCCTCAGAGAGACAAGTTCTATCAAGGCAGCTTAGGTGTATAGAAGCTTTTGGACTTCCCAATGTCAAACATCATTTGCAAATCTTAAAGACAAACTCACAAGTGCACCAACACTAGGGTATGCTGATTTCACACTTCCCTTTTTGATAGAGACAGACGCAAGTAATATTGGGCTGGGAGCAATCACATATGCTAGCAGGAGACTGAGGGGGGGATGAGAAGAACGACCAAAGTTACAGCATTATGAAGCTGGAGCTGTTAGCACTTAAGTGGGCAGTCACCGAAAAGTTCAGAAGTTACCTGCTGGGGTGCAAATTAACCATCATAGCAGACAATAATCCTCCTTGTCACCTTACCACAGCCAAATTAGGAGCTATTGAAAAGCGTTGGGCGTTCGATTTTGAATTAAAAAATCATCCTAGACGATGCAATATTGCTGCTGATGCTCTTTCTAGGAGACCAGCGTTCAGTGAACCAGAATATGAAAGTGAGGATGCGGAGTATGATGGCTCTGTGGCAATCTGTAACATGCTAAGGACAGGAATAGCTCTGGAGCCAGAGTTGTTAGCAGCAGGTTTGTAAGTCAGTAAAGTCAGGCAGTTACAGGCTTCTCTTGCTGGAGAAGATGAAAAAGTGGATGAGAATACCCCCACTTTATCAGGGTACTCAAAGGCAGAACTTCATCAGTTTCAGGAGTCAGATCCAAGGCAAAGTGTGTTTAAGAAGTGTTGGAGTCGTCAAAGAAAACCCACCCAGCAAGAGCAACTGGGATTGTCTAAATCATTACGTCCTCTGTTGAAACAGTGGCCAAAGATCAGAGAAAAGTATGGTCTATTATATTGTCTAATCTATGATGTCAACATGGGCGAATGTCACCAGCTCTTGTTACCCACCTACTTAAGGGATCAGGTCCTGAAAAATGTCCATGATCAGATACCCATCAAGGCATTGAGAGAACTTTAAGCCTGTTGAGACAGAGATGTTTCTGGGGAGAAATGTGTGAGGATGTGGAGCAGTGGGTGAAGCAATGTCAGTGCTGCGTGTTGGCCAAGTTGCTGCAACCAAAGATTAAGGCTCCTTAGGCTTCATTCTTGGCCACCAGTCCACTGGAGGTAGTAGCTGTCGATTTAACAACTTTGGAACCAGTCACGGATGGGTGCGAAAATGTTCTTGTAGTAACTGATGTGTTCACAAAGTTCAGTCAAGCATTTCCCACCCATGACCAAAAGGCAGAGACTACTGCCAAGATCCTTCTCTGAGAGTGGTTCCTGAAGTTTGGAATTCCTCAACGACTACACTCATATCAGGGCAGGAACTTCGAAAGTGCTGTGATGGCAGAAATCTGCAAGTTGTATGAAGTTAGGAAAACTCGCACAACACAGCACCACCCATAGGGCAATTCTCAATGTGAAAGGTTTAACAGAACCCTTCATGACTTTTTAAAGTCTCTCCCACCCGAGAAGAAGTGCAGGTGACCGGACCATTTAGCTGAGCTGGTTGATGCTCTACTGGGTCAGGAGCCTGCCACAGATGAAAAGCTTGTCTGGTTAAAAGTACACCAAGAACATCTCAAGGATGCACGTTTGAGCAAAGAACTGTGCGGAAAGGAAAGCTGCAGAAATAACCAAGCTTCACGAAGACAAAGTAAATTGCATAACTATAAAAGTTGGACAGCATGTGTACCTGCAACACAGGCCCCCTGGAAGAAACAATATTTAGGATGCATGGTCTTCCACCGTGTACAAAATACTAGATATGCAGGGGACCACACACACTGTAGAGCTTGTCGAAGGAGGTACAGTATGACATACAGTACAGTAAAAAGAGTGCATAGGTCCAACCTCATGTCCTGCAGTCATCCAGTCCCAGTGCCTATGCCAAGATGCCTAAAACAACCTGTAAAAGATGTACCTAACTCTGTTTTGGATTCAGAGATGTCCTCACCTGGGGCAGAGTGTGTTCTGGTAGAGGAAGTTCAGTGTCCAGGGCAGAACCCGACTAGATCTGAAAATACAAACTTACTAGTTTCTGAGCTTGGAGGAAGATTCAATGATCAGAGGGAGTGAAGACTGTTCAGGGGCATACAGTCAGGGAATACCTAATGACACTTTGGAAGTGACACCAGTATGTGTTGAGCTAGAAAAAGAAAGAGTCAACTTACCTGTTGAGAATCCAGAAACTAGACCTGTGCCTACACCTAGAAAGAAAAAAGAAGAGAGAGTTAGTTCTGAAGTGCCTTGTCTTGAAGTGCGTAAAACACAAAGGACAACTGCAGGAATACATAGTAACCGAAATCGATTACCAAAGTCTGCGTGCAATGCAGTGTCTTGTCTTGTTTAGAGGGTAGAAGAGAGATTTAAAGGTCCAAAGAGTGATGGAAAGACAACATAGTGAGTGTTGTTCAACTTTATTTAATATAAGTGTTTATGAGAATGTATTTTCATATTTGCTTTTAAATGTTATGTTCAAAATGTCATGTGTTTACAGGTCTTAATGCTGTGTGTGTGTGTGTGTGTGTGTGTGTGTGTGTGTGTGTGTGTGTGTGTGTGTCATTAGCCCCTTTCACACAGTGATACCAGTAAATATCTGGAAAATTTCCGGAATGACTTTTGCGGTATATTCAAAAAAGTGCTGTTCACACAGGCGAGGACGTTACGGAAATTTTCCGGAAAAGAGCATTCACACATCCATTCCAAAATACCGGTAAATTCTCACATCATTCACCACAAATGAGCTTTAAACGGCTGCGCTTGTATTTGTAAACAATTGACTAAATTACAAACTCTGTGGATGATCAATATTGTGAACAGCTTTCGCAGGATCACTTTCGCATGTCGAGATGTTCATAATAGCAGGCGCTCACAGGCTGTTTCACAGGTACACGCAAAGCTTGAAGGTAACCAAAAAATGGCTTATGATAAGCATTTGATTGATTATTATTTACACAGTTGGCATTAAAAAGAACATATAAGCGTGATCTGACTAACTTCTAGCAGCTAAATGTGTCTGGAAAAATATTCAAAGGCTTTTATTCTCATAAACCGTGCGGACGTAAATGCGTCTGACTGTTGTGATTGGCTAAAGTAGACGTCTCACGTCGGCACGTTCTAGACGTGCATGCGCTTATTCCAAGAATCTTCCTTCTGCATTCACACAGCGCAGCATTCCGGCAAATTGCCGGTAATGTTACAACTTCTCTTTCCGGAAAATAGCCAGAACGAATTTACCGGTATTTTCAAAAAGGACCTGTTCACACATACAACCTTTCTCCAAGGTCTGTATGTGTGAAAGGGGCTATAGAGAGCTGATGAGCTGCAAGTTTGAGTCATTTAACTCATTTTATTTGAATATTAATGAACACTTATTCACTGAAATAAAACTGAGTTGTAAACATTGTTTAATTGTAGGAGAATATTTGTAAAGTGTTCACATGGCAACATCTCATTCCATGTGATTTGTAAGGGTAAAGTGAGCAGCTCTTTTCAATCTGACTTTGATGGTGGATGACTTACACTTGGTTGTATGTTTTCTCAGCGTGAACTGCTGCTACCGTTGTTTATGTACTATTTCAGTTTCAAAAATTTGCTTTCAGTCATTGTGATTACAAGAAAGAAAAGAGGATAACACAGTGGCTATACACCATCTTGAACTTTGCTATTAAAATTGTCCAAAATTCGCATACTTAACGCTGCGCTGTTCTAAGTGCAGTCTGGAATAAAAGTCCCCAGAATTTTTTCATCCTGTGTCCGGTGTCATTACACATTTAATTCCTGGGCTACATATGCACTATATTTGTAACAAGGAGACTGACACAGAGGGATCCATTTGCAGTATTTTTATTAAACACAGTTTAATAACAACCCACATAGCAAAATATATCTGGCCCAGCTCTGGCCCACACAATCAGCTTTCACTTGGCCCACATGCCGCAGTGAATTACGGTACATGACTGGGCCAAGTCTGGCTTCCAGGCAAGGGCCAAACACGGACCATATCTGGGCCAGGTCTTAGCCAAGTTAGTAACCCATAACTGGGCCTGAACTGGGCCAGTTATGGCACATGAATGGTCATTGTCTGGAAGCCAGACTTGGTCCAGTCATGTACCGTAATTCACTGCGGCATGTGGGCCAAGCAAAAGGCTGATTGTGTGGGCCAGAGCTGGGCCAGAGAAATTTTGCTATGTGGGCCATAACTGGCTCTCAACCGGACCAGATCAAGATAATATTTGGAACCAAAACTGAGCCATAATTAAACCATGTTAAGACTAGTCTTTAACCAGATAGCCCAAAAGTAAGCCACACCTAAGCCTAATCCACATGAACTAAAACTGCGGCCAAACTAAACCCTTCCCAGATCAAATCACAACAATGACTGTTCTGAACAATATTTATTATTTCACATTTAAGAAAACATGACAAAACAGGAAAAATCAGCATACTGTAAATCTTTAACATCAGAACACACAGCATTTTGCTCTCTTTTAAGTTGCAAATCCCATATAAGCAAGATCTTTAACCAGTTTTCTCCTAATTCTCCTTTCGCTTCTGTCTCTCTTTCCTGCCACCATCCCTATCCGGGGCCAGATATAGCCATCTTTTGATGGTTGAGTCAATGTCTTTTTCTGAGGCTTCAGATGTCAGGCGGTTTCGTCTCACAGCCGCTGAAACAGATATGTAAATGTTTGAAATTAGCTTTTTTATCAACAGCTAATGTGGATATTGGATTTTAAAAAACAATTACATTAAAACTAAACCAGAACAAATTGACAGACATGCTTTTACAGCTATACAGACTTTTAATTGAAGCAAATAATTTTAGTAATATGGCTCCAGGAGGAATTCAGTCTAAGTTCCTTTTCACAAAGCTGTGTGCAATTTAATAATTAGATATATTTTGGCAGTGATCTTTTAAATCTCTGTTTTAGTAAAATGCTATAATTGGTTCAACACTCTTTGTTTACCAGCAAATAAGGACAGTAAGGCTGCATTTACACTGCAGATCTTGATGGTCAATTTTGATTTTGTGACTGTCTGATTTATTTGCTGACTTATTTACATCGTTTTTTTTAAAGTGACTCATATCTGATTGTCTGCATTTACACAGCACACGGCAAAGATGCAATGACCAGGAAAAAAAAAAAAGAGCAGGCGGTGATTGACAGCTGATAATAAAAGAGCACCCTTTTCTCTATGCCTGTATTTAATGTGTTTACGGGGTTTCATTTTTTTTTATTCTTTTTGACAAGTTACTATAGTTTATAACAGAAAAGTTCTCATTTGTCCATCTTCTTTTAATTTAGGCCTTTTTGAAGCAGTAGGCGTCTTAATGTAATGTCCATGGGAAAATTTATGCACATGATGTATGCTCAAGGTTTGAGATTCTGCTGAAGTCTGTTCCAAAATGAAAGCATCTAACCTGATGTCATTCACTGTTTTTTAATGATAAGCGACTCGCATTGACAGGTGAAAATCCAATCTACCTGACACAAGGGCACGGATCAGATTCATATCAGAAAAACTTCCACATATGAACAAGGCCTGAATCTGATTTGAGTAAAATGTAATTTTATTTTTCATGTAATTTTTTCCTGTTTACACGCCACATAGGAGAAAAAAAACGGAATTGAGTCACTTGAACTATGCAGTATAAATGCTGCCTATGGATCATGTGAATTATAGTGATATGTGTCTACAATTTATATTTAAACTGGTCAAAGCATGTATATACCTTATGAGAACGCCCTGGGTTTAATTTTAATGGAGCCATCAATTACAGTCAGTGTGATTAGAGAGCTTTTTAAAGAATATTCACTGTATTTTCGTTGGTCCGTTTAAAAACTTTATTGGTTAGCTCAGTTTAAACATGGACATTTTTGTTATTTTGGCCTACTACATGTGAAAATATTGGAAAAAAAACATTCTGTGACTTTATAATGCTACTGTACATTAAAATTGTACAATAAAGATCTAGTTGTTGACATTAATTTAACTAAATTCACAATTAAAGCAACAAAAGCTTTTATGCAGCTCATTTCAATATCCTGACAGTACTGTATGCTGTGGCAAAATTGTCAGTAATTAATCGCAAATCTCGTATCTACTGAAGGGTTAGTATTAGGGTTTGGTTCAGAGTAACTGTGTATAACCTTTGTTAATTTTTTATTTTAATTACAATAAGTGCATGTAAAATAAATAACTTTTTTTCTCTTCTCTTTCCTGCTCATCACTGTACCTCTAATGTACTCCTCTTGGAACCTCAGTTAATCAAATTAATACAATTTGATTATTGTTAAAGACTTTAACCCCTTTTGTGGCATAAAGTTCAACTTACCAATAACAACATTTCGTAAATGTAAGCTCTGGAATCCAATCTTTCCATTGATTCCCCGCATGTTTATTTTTCTGGCTAAAGAGTTTGTCATCAGTCCATGCATAATTCTCTATATGCACTCATGAAGGTCCACCCCACCTTTGAGAGCCAATTTGTTTACCTAAAACCATTAATCATTATTTTTTAAGCAATGGTTTGAATAAATAATGAAACACTATGTATAATATAACTGACACTGGTAGTATTTTTTCTCTTACACAAAAATTTTATTTTTAAAAATGTAAAAAAAAAACAAGCATAAAAAGCAGAAGAGTGCTTTGGATGTGAGTGCGCTAAAAACATACGCGCTTGATTATGCATATCTGCATGGATATTGGCTTTATTGTTTATAATTTGATTTGCCAACATACCAACTGTTTCTGGAGGTCAGGATTACTACGTAGTTGTTCCTCAATGTCTTCCAGAGAACCAACATCTTTTATTGGCAGCAAGTTTCGATCCAGGACTGCCTCTGCCTCTTCAGTTGGTTTCATACTCTGCAGCATCTTAAAGTTGATTCAAAGTTGGTCCATCATCATTTCCTGCTTTGTTAATATATTACGCAGAAGGGCTAGAAAAAACAACAAGAAAGATAAAATGTGTTTTTAATTTTTTTCTTTAATTAGGTAAATACTCACCATTTGTTGGTATTACTATTTTCTAATAATTTCCGATGCAAGTTACAAGTTAACATGGCAAACTAAAAATCAGATAATCAGGTGGTTCTAGAGGATTGTTTAAAATTACAGCATCTTAACAAAACAATTTTAGATAATTTTAGATATTTAGAGTTTTTGGAAGCACAAACATACAAAGTTTTACATTTTTGTATAAGACTATAAAAACTGTACAGTGTTAAAACGTCTCGGGTTACGTATGTAACCATAGTTCCCCGAGAGGGAACGAGACACTGCGTCTAACCAGAACGCTAGGGGAACACCTCTTTTATACGCGTCTTGAAGCACATGTGAAATCAATCTAATGTAGTCAGACCAGAGAGTATAAAAGCCTGTACTGAGCATTCAGTATCAACTTCGAATTTGCTTGAAAGAAGTAACAGGCAGAAGAGAGTATGGCGGAATACGCAGTGTCTCGTTCCCTCTCGGGGAACTATGGTTACATACGTAACCCGAGACGTTCCCCTTCTAGGGAACTTCAACACTGCGTCTAACCAGAACGCTAGGGGAACGCAATACCCACTAGGCCAGACTCACTGCTGACTGTGAACGCACACTACGCAGTGAGAATAGAGGACCCTGGTGAGGGGTCTACATCGAGTTGATAGTGACGCACAAATGTATGTGGAGTCGACCATCCTGCCGCCAAACAAATGTCAGAAAGGGCTGAGCCCGAAATAGAAGCTTTGGAGGCCCCGACAGCCCTTGTGGAGTGGGCCTTAAATTTAGGTCAGCAGCCTGATAGGTAAATGAGATAGTCTCAACTATCCAATTACTTATTGTCTGCTTATTTGCCGGACTCCCCCTTTTTGAGGGTCCGAAGCAGACCAGTAACTGTTCACTCTTTCTCCAGTTGATAACCCGGTTAACATATGTATTCAGAGCTCTAACTGGGCAGAGTAAGTTTAACTTCTCTTGGTCGGACGACTGAAATGGGGGCGGGTGAAAGGCCTGTAGCACAGCAGGTCTCGCCACATGAGTGGGCACCTTAGGCACGTACCCCGGTCTGGGATAAAGAAAGGCTTTGGACATGCCTGGAGCAAACTCCAGAAATGAAGGTGCAACCGACAAAGCCTGGAGGTCACCAACCCTTTTCAAGGAAGAAATAGCTAATAAGAAAGCTGTTTTTAGTGTCAGAAACTTATCTGACGCCTCCTGCCTCCTGCAGTGGCTCAAATGGGGGAACAGAGATGCCCTCGAGCACCAATGTTAAATCCCATGTCGGTACCCTGTGTGTGCTGACAGGCCTTAGCCTTATGGCTCCACGAAGGAAGCGACGAATTAGCGGATCCTGTCCTAGTGACTCATCATCTAGGGGAGAACGGTAGGCCGCTATAGCTGACACGTACACTCTCAGAGTGGATGCAGCTAACCCAGCAGACAGGCGATCTTGGAGAAATTCCAGCACTGAGGCTACCTGGCAGCTGACTGGGTTCAGCTGGTGTTCTCTGCACCAAGCTGAAAAGAGAGCCCATTTTAGGGCATAAAGCTTCCTTGTGGAGGGAGCCCTGGAGCTTAGAATGGTCTGAGCAACCTCGGTTGACAGTCCATACTCTATGAGGTGGGCCCCCTCAGAGGCCACACCCACAGTTTCCACAGGTCGGGTAGGGGATGAAGTATCATTCCTCCCGCCTGGGACAGAAGGTCCCTGCTGATGGGGATCTCCCACGAGAGACCCGCCAGCAGGGCTATGAGGTCCGAAAACCAAATCCTGGTAGGCCAAACCGGGGCTACCAGCAGTAACTGTACTCAGTCTTGACGGACCCTCTCCAGGACTCCTGGGAGCAGAGCGATCGGGGGAAAAGCATACAGACGTAGCCTCGGCTATATCTGAACCATGGCAACCAGTCCCAGAGGGGCTGGATGCGAGAGAGAAAACCATAGTACGCAATGCGTGGTCTCTTGGGAAGCTAACAGGTCTACCTGCGCTTTCCCTAATCTTTTCCAATTGGACTCCACCACCTCGGGGTGAAGAAGTTTCCATTCCCTGGATCTTACCCCCTGCCTCGACAGGAGATCTGCTCCCATGTTCAGATGGCCCGGGACATACATTGCCCTGAAGGACAGGATTTTGTTCTGGGCCCACAGGAGGATCCAATGTGCTAGTTTGCATAGCATTCGAGACTTCAGACCCCCCTGCTGGTTGATGTAAGCGACCACCAATGTGTTGTTCGTGCAGACTAAAACATGATGGCCCCTTAGATCTGGGAGAAAGTGTTTTAAGGCCAGAAACACGGCCATCATCTCCAGGCAGTTTATGTGCCAGTAACGATGATGTTCTCCCCATCGTCCCGCTGCGGGAAGCCCCCTCAGGGTTGCTCCCCAGCCCGTTAGAGAAGCATCTGTCATAAGCATGACGCGATGACAGACAGCCCCCAACACTAGGCCCTGGGACAGGAAACAGGGCATTTTCCACATACTTAAGGCTCGAAGGCAGCGCCGCGAAACCTTGATCATGCGGATCAAGCCCGTTGCTCCCTAGCCCGTCAGAGAAGCATTTGTCATAGGCATGACGCGATGACAGACAGCCCCCAACACTGGGCCCTGGGACAGGAACCAGGGCATTTTCCACATACTTAAGGCTCGAAGGCAGCGCCGCGAGACCTTGATCATGCGGAAAGGATTCCCCTTGAGGGAAAACCCCCTGGATTTGAGCCACCACTGCAGGGGTCTCATGTACAGCAGACCAAACGGAATCACACTGGCTGCTGCTGCCATGAGACCCAACAACCTCTGAAAGTGTTTCACAGTGATGAACTGGCCTAGTTTGACTCTGTGTACGGTTGACTGAATCGAAGCGATTCATGGCGGGGACAGACGTGCTCGCATCGTCATGGAGTCCCATAGCAAACCTAAAGAAATGGTCGTCCTGGCTGGAACAAGCACACTTCTTGCGGTGTTTAACCGAAACCCCAACCTTCTGATATGGGTGAGAACGACATCTCGATGCCGAACTGCCATATCGTGAGTCTGAGCTAGAATTAGCCAATCGTCTATGTAGTTTAGGATACGTATCCCCTGCATACGAAGTGGAGCGACTATTTTGGTAAAGGTTCGAGGTGACAGAGCAAGGCCGAATGGAAGAACCCGATACTGGAACGCTTCGCCCCCGCAAGCGAACCTCAGGTATTTCCTGTGTTGGGGAAGGATGGAAATATGGAAGTATGCGTCTTTCAGGTCTATCTTCACAAACCAGTCCTCAGACTGAATTTGTGACACCACGTTTTTGATGGTTAACATCCTGAACCTGAGGGCCCCGACGGACCGATTTAGATTTCTCAGATCTAATATGGGACGCAATCCCCCATCCTTTTTGGGAACTATAAAATACCGGCTGTAAAACCCTGACTCTCTGTCGAGTGGGAGAACACGCTCTATTGCGCCTTTTATTAATAAGGCCAGTACTTCCTGTTCCATAACCAGAGCCTGTTCTGGCTTCACTATGGTGGGTGCAATACCGTTAAAGCGAGGTGGGCGTGCACAAAACTGTATTTTGTAGCCATGTTCTACTGTGAACAGGACCCACTGGGACACCATCGGCAGGTGTTTCCACGCTGCCAAAAAATGTGCTAGGGGTACCAGCCTCTCGAGACTGGCCTCTGGTTGTTCTTTGACCCCCCTGCAGAGGGGGTGGGGCCCCCAATGCCCTCAGACACTGAGGAACGCCCACCCCGGGAGACACAGAGCCCCCCACCAACATAAGTGGTGAGGTGGCCTCTCCCTTTCTCCACGGACCCTGGTTCAGTGAGAGCGCTGAATGGTGCTCTCGGTGTCCAGGGGGGGCCCTGGAAAGCCTGACTCCCAACACGTCAGGACTTTGTTTTATCCTTTGTACTTCATGATATGAGGAGCTGGTTGACGGCTGGGACTGTCTTTTAAAAGCCCCCTGACTTTTTGATCTTGGGGGGAGAAAGTCCCCGAGGGAGCTAGAGCGTTTTTTAACTCTGTCGAGGGATTCGGCGACACGATCGACGGCGTCACCGAAGAGCCCTGAGCTCGATATTGGAGCGTCCATAAGAATAGCTCTATCGGTTTCTGACACTTCTGCTTGTGTCAGCCAGAGGTGCCGCTCAGTAGCCACCAGGGTAGCCATAGATCGCCCCAAACTAGAGGCTGCCTCTTTAGTAGCTCTTAAAGCTAGATCTGACGCCCGAAGAGCTTCTCGAAGCTGTTCGGGTGTTGCTCCCCCACCATCTAGGCACTCTTTAATTAGGTCAGCCTGATATGCCTGCAGCACTGACATGGTGTGCAGGCATCCAACAGACTGACCAGCCGTCATATATGCTTTACTGACTAGACCCGATGTTACTCTTAATGGTCTCGACAACAAAGGAGGGACCCTTGCAGATTTTAGATCTGAACGACGATGACATGCTAAGTCCTCTTCTATCATTGGCATTACTGTACATGCCTTTTCCCCTAGCCCACGAACTGCTGAATAAATAGCTGTTTTTGGTGTCATTAACCATGCTGAATACGGATTTTTCCATGACTTAGAAACCGCATCATGTAGCTCGGGACAAAAGGGGAGGTCCCTTAGTGGAGGATCTACTCTGCTGGGTAATTCTCTCTCATCCAGCATTCCTGTCAGACGCAGCTGCTGCTGCTCACGTGCTGGCTGCCAATCTATTACTTCGAACCTGTCAGCAGCACGTGAAATCACCTCCACTAACTCCTCATATTCCACTGACTGGGGCGGCAGATTCCCCGACCCTCTTTGTATTTGTTGCTGCGGCGCCTCGGTTTCCTCGGAAACGGAGGACGCCGCCCTCCCAAGAGGCGCAGAAGACACTGCAGAGCGTGCTTCTGACGCTCCCGAAGGAGGATTAGATCTCACGGATCCAGAGAGAGAAAGGACAGAGTCCGTCTCCATCTCATCCGCCAGATCTAGCTGCGAACCCCACGACCGAAGTCGACGCTCAGCCTCAGCACGAGCAGGACCCGAACCGCGAGGAGCGTGCGCCACGGGAGCTTTATTAAAGAACTCTCTCCGACTACGCAGCTCTTTACGGGAGAGGACGTCACAGTGTCCACAGTCAGCATTCTCAAATGCTGCCAGGGCATGCTCTTCTCCCAAACACTCTAAACACAAATCATGTGAGTCACCAGCCGCAATAAAGCGAGGGCATGGAGGCACACAACGTTTAAAGTTTTTCTCTGCCATACCAAAATAAAAAAGTAAGTTATCAGTTTTTTTGTATTTTGTGTATGCAAATCAGTTATGAAAGTTCACAGAAAGAGGGTGTATTTTCACGTGCGTGCTTCTTGAAAGCAAAGAAGTTGATACTGAATGCTCAGTACAGGCTTTTATACTCTCTGGTCTGACGACACCTGCTTAATTACATTAGATTGATTTCACATGTGCTTCAAGACGCGTATAAAAGAGGTGTTCCCCTAGCGTTCTGGTTAGACGCAGTGTTGAAGTTCCCTAGAAGGGGAACATACATTATGTTTATAACAAATATGTAGGGCTCTATATTGACAGTCCATGCGCAAAGTGCAAAGATTAGTGTTGATTTGTTTCAAAACTATTTCTAAATTCAGTTCTGATTTCCAGCAAACTAATAAATGAACAATAATAACGAAGTGCTCAAAAACCTGAGTTTTATCCTAAAACACATGCTGTGCCCCATATGGTCTAAAACCTGCAGGTGGGCAAATATAAGCTTGTTTTTAATAAAACAAATATAAATATGGATATAATAAATAATACTGCTAATAATAATAACATTATACAAAAGCAAATTGTTATAAATGAACTGAAAAAGCCTCCCGAGATGAAGAAGACATAAAAGCAGTGGTTTTTCATATTTATGTAGGCTAGAAAATAATATGTTTTGTAATATTTTAATCCTTTAATATCCTATATATATATCCTTATTATATCCTACATATATCCTTAATATTTTAATTCTTTTTCATGTGATATGAGATATTTGCGTATTGCTCTACATGTTGTGTGTATTAAGCAGTGTGTAAGCGAGGCACAACTCTGCGCTGGACAATAGACCGGCTTTGTTCTGATCTATTGAAAAATCTACTAGTTTCTCAAAATAGCAACGTGCCAGCAATGCGCCTCAGAACGCCATCCTTTTTAGACCAGAACGCCTATGGGCGCACAAATGAGCGCTAATGCATTTGCTATTTAAACAGCGTAGCGGAAAACGTCAAAACGACTCTTGCGCCAAGCTGAAACTAGCAAACAACTATTGCATCGCCCCTTGCGCCACATTGCACCGGGTGTATGATAGGGCCCATAGTGTGACTCACCAGAGAAAAAGTACTAAATACAAACAACTACTATGAAAATCAATATACTCACATGTTTGCAGATTTGATGTCTGCTCTCTGGTCTGGGGTGGCTCAGTGTGCTTTGATGTGACTGTAGAAGGTGCAGAGTGGCTTTGTCCGTGAATCTTAGTGCTAACATGGCTTGATCTATGAATTTTACTGCCAACATGACTTGGTCTAGCCACCTCAGTGCTTGATGTGTGGATCTCATTGCTGTTATGCCTTGAAGATGACTTATTAGTTCCATGGTGCTGACTTGTGTGGAGCTTTTGGCTGTTGTGTCCTCTTGGGTAAAAGTGATCACTGCTATGGCCTCCGGAGTAGAGATTAGGACTGCTGCAGCCTCTTGAGTAAAGTTTAGGAGTGCTGTGCCCTTTTAAGTAAAGCTCAGGAGTACTGTCATCACTTGGAAAAAGCTCAGGACTGCTGTGGCCTCTTTCATAGTCGTAAGAAGTGATGTGGCCCTTTAGGTGGTGGGAAGGAGTGGTTTGATTGAGTACTTGGAGCTTGGGGCTGCTTTGCTTTCCTGGTTCTAACTCATTAGTGTTGTCCTATCTAGCAATACTCCTAGCATTGGGCAATGAAAAGTTTCTGCACAAATGAAGAAAACATGTTTATTTATCAGCTGTGAAAAATTATCTTACAGTTTTTGTTTTAAATGCTGAGGCTTCTTACCTGTTTTGTGACTTTGTTCCTTCCACGCTGCCTTCCATGTCATCATAGTGGCAAACAGCAGTGATGCGGCCTGTTGGGTTGAACCCTGGACTGTTTTCCTTTACTGGGTTTACTGCTAAAGTTTTGTGCTGCTTGATGATTTTTGGAGCATTGGGCAATGAATATTTTCTACTCAAAGATACAAAAGATCTTAGCATTTCATCTAGCGCAATAAAATAAACTAATTACAATTAGCAAAAGGTTCTTACCCTTTTTTTTTGACTTTTTTTCTTTCACAATGCTTTCTGTCTCTGAATCATCCTCCCCAGGCAATAGATTGTTTTTAGGCCTAAGTACATTCAGTAATTTCATAGTATAAAACTATTAGTAAATGTTGTTTATCACCCATTAAAATATGTGTTAATAAAAGAAAATAAAGAACGAAACACTAAAACATATTTGTCCCCTTACATTCTTTTTCTTTTAAAAGCACGTGGTTAGTTCCCCTCATCACTTCCAACATCAGTCTGTTCAACAGCTTAGGGTAATTTTCGTCTTGCTTCATTGTAGTCATCTGTGAGAGTAAGAAAGACAATTTTAAGTAATAAAAATCATTAGTTTAATCTGAAGGAAGAGGTGAAAGAATGTAACTTACGTGAAGTGAAGATAATTCTGGCCTTATGGGCTTTCCATTCGTCTCCAGGACAATCTTGCAATCTGACAGCTTTGGCTATATCAGTTTTATTTGGAGGCCACAAGCACTCTCCATTTTTAATCCAGATGGAAGGCACAACTTCTACCTCATTAGTTTTGTCAAAAACAACAATGTGAAACATCTAAAGAAAAATCAGAAACCCACAGAAACACTCTCTTTAGCCAACACAACTACTAAAAGGCCTGTTTTCCTTAATGCAATAGTGGAACAACAACAAATCGTTTTTCAAATGGTAGTCTTACAAACTTCTGGGGCTTTTGTCTAACTATGAAACATTTGATGTTAGTGGAAAGTTTGGAAACAACATAAATTCCCAGCTCTCTTGAGTCAATAGGATATGTAAAGAAGTGTTCCACCTGTTTATATTCATTGGCCACAATGTAAACTACTCCTTTTTCCTCAATAATGTTCTGGACTAACACCAACTTTTTGTCAATTTTAATACAACAATCTCTCTCTTTGACACTCATAACTACATCGTCTGTAGCTAGCACTTTATATTGACGAACTTGTGGTGAAAAGCATTCTGGCACTGGCCCATCCTTATGCTCACTTTCAGTTTTTCACTTGCCTCTTTTATATCAGCACTGGTGATATTTTCTATCTCTAATAATCTTCGTATCACCTGAGTTAAAGGATTTAGTGGCCCTCGAACCAACTTTTTCAGTTTTCCTAAGAAATTTTCAAAAGGAAATGCTGATATGAGGTCTAAATTGCCATGAAGTTTGACATCTTCATTAAGATGCACCAGACCATGAACATTGTAGACCAAAAACTCCTCACCATAAAGCTGGCCAAAGTGTTTAATAAATGATATCAGCAGAGTTTTAGCAAAGTCATTCAACTCCATACAATATTCAGGACTTGCTAAAATGTACACACCTACTGACAATAGCATGAAATTGTCATAGATTTGAGGCTCTACAACACCCCTCAGCACAACCGGACCAGTGTACAAGAGGAATTGTTGAAATTCTGTGGCTTTCCATCTGCATCGTTCAAGCAGTGCACGTGGCCTTCGAGCAAACTCACTTGGAATGTAATTTCTCAGTGCAAGAAGTCTATCTGAAACCATGGACGCCTGACTACATGAAATACGACAGTGCAAGGGACCTGTGGTGCCAATCCACAAATCTAAGAGACGCCTCATGACACCCAGACATACTAGGTGCATATAATCATACGGAAAACAAGTGATCATGTCAATGCCAAATTCTATAAAAGGTGATTGCTGGACATGGTGTTGTTCATCTGTTACTTGCCTAAAACTATCATCACTTCTGCACCTTGCACTGACCTCAGGAAATGTCATTCTATTTGATTTGCGGACGCCTGTTTGATGACATTTGTCACATCCATGATAAGCGTTGTGTGACTTTACACCTCTGATGAAGGCTCGAGCTGGGGTGTCACACACAACAGAAACAACATTCAAAAAGAAGATTTTCTGCTTGAATAGAAACCCATCTTTCAACACTTTAAGCTCTTGAACCAGATCATTAAGATATTCAGTCAATGAATTTGGCTTAGAAGTACCACAAAACAGTCCTATCAATATTGGTTTCTTGGTGTATCCTTGCAACAAACCCAGTATTGGCCAGAACTGTACACTAGTACTCTTGAAGATAGGTAGCCCATCAAAATTCAGCTGCAGTTTAAAAACATGTTTGTCTGGCAGAGTGGACCAAATTAAATCTAGAAATTTCTGAATAGAATTCAGAATACCACTATAATGAAACAAGCCACCAGCAACACTGGTAATGTTGTAGCTTGTTTTTGTTTTCAGCAAGGTTCGTCCATCCTTTGGCAAAGGGGAATGATAGATTTTGAGAATGCTGAGAAGCGCTGTTAAAGCTATTAGAGATATTCCAAATTCAATTGCCCAGTCTGCCAGAGAACTTTGCAAATCACCACCCATCTCACTACACTGTTCTCCAAGATCAGGCAGATCTTCAATAGAAGCTGCAGTCTTTTCACTTCTTTATCCTGAATGTCATAAACTAAATCCTCATCACTTTCATCACCATTTTGCATGTCAGATTCCTCCAAATCATCAACATCAATATTTGACTCGTCATTTATGTTTCCTTCCCTATGGTGCTCCTTTGACATCTCTTTACTGACTAGCCTTAATGCCCTTCTTCTTGAATTGCCCCATCATTGTACATCCAAGTCTTTTCCATACCGTGGCTTTACTCTGGTCTTTTGTACCACCTGAAACAAAACAAAATAGAACATTAAACAAAAATGCACACACACCAAACAAAAACGATCAAGAAAATCAGAAGTGAATGGATGAGATAACAAGATGCTTGTACATTTTAATATTTAGTTTTTAATTTGAAAATTAAAGAAGCTGAAGCAGGAAAATGCAGCCCTTAGTAGTTTTTATTTATAAACTAACTAAACAATGTATAAAGACATATTTTTTCCTTTTTATTTAATTAAAAAAATGAAAAACAACCAAAACACTCATTTGCGGTCATTACATAATTTGTCAAAGAAAAATTAGATAGAGCAAGCACAGTTTATAAAATTAATGAGTGACACAATAGAATCCTTAATCTAGAAAAAAGCAAGCACACACATACAATTTAATTCAAATGTTTGAAGTCCAAAACTAATTATCAGCCTTTTCTCATTACTCAATAACTATATTTAGTCAAACTAGGGCTGCACAATAACAAAAAAAAAAAAATAATAATTATTATAATCACGATTAATTTGTTCAAAATGTTAATCACGATTAAAAAAATGATGATTATTTCTTTATATATATTTTATAGTTGTGTTTTCTTATAGTTGTGGCTGTGATATATACATACAGTTGAAGTCAGAATTATTAGCACCCTTTGAATTTTTTTCTACTTTTTTAAATATTTTCAAAATAATATTTAACAGAGTAAGGAAATGTTCACAGTATATCTGAAAACATTTGTTCTTCTGGAGAAAGTCTTAGTTGTTTAATTTCAGCTAAAATAAAAGCAGTTTTTAATTTTTTAAACACCATTTTAGGGACAAAATTATTAGCCCCTTTAAGCTCAATTTTTCCTCGATAGTCTACAGAACCATCGTTACACAATAACTTGCCTAATTACCCTAACCTGCCTAGTTAACCTAATTAACCTAGTTAAGCCTTTAAACGTCACCTTAAGCTGTATAAAAGTGTCTTGAAAAACAACTAATCAAATATTATTTACTGTCATCATGACAAAGAGAAAATAAATCAGCTATTAGAAATTAGTTATTATTACTATGTCTGTAGTGTATAAGTGTGTGTGAATGGTTCCCAGAGATGGGTTGCGGCTGGAAGGGCATCCGCTGCATAAAAACTTGCTGGATAAGTTGGTGGTTCATTCCACTGTGGTGACCCTAGATTAATAAAGGGACTAAGCTGACAAGAAAATGAATGAAGGAATATTAAACTTCACAGCCACAACTATAAAAAAAACACAACTTGTAAAAAACTGGGTGGGGATTAGATTTCAATTTCTTGTCCAATTTCTGCATGCACATTTTTTTCACTCGCTACTCTGCCAGGAACTTCACCGCTGGAGAGCACTTTCAATAATAATCTAAACTTTTGTTTAGAGATGGACTGCAAATTGTACTCAAAAGAGTGACTACATGTGGTGAAGAATGATGGCAAAGCTAAGTGCAATTATTGTAATAAACTAGTAAGTTAGAAAGCAGAGTGTCGTGACCAACATGACAAAGTATCTGCAGTAGGCATGGGACGATAACTGTTTTCAAGTTATACAGTGGTTTGGAAAACTAAAGGTTTTAAAACTGCCAAAAAAAATTTCTGCAATACCATTCCTAAGGTATGAATTTTTTTTTAAACTAATTAAGACGGCAGAAGTCAATGATTTATTTTAATTATTTAGCCTGACATGTTTACTGCTCCAAAATTGTATAAATGTTTCTCAAGATATATTGTGTTCAAATGGGAAAAAGTTTTGTTTTTTACCCAGACATTTAAAGAGATTATATTTTAGAGCAGTAATCACAATAATGTGATACATTAAAAATTTTTATCCAAGGTTATCATAACGCCAGAATCTTATACCGGCCCATGCCTAATTGGTTGGTTACTTCACAAATATTGAATAAAATAAAATGTTGTGTTGGTTCATTGTGCATCCCGCGGGTGCAACCAAGTTGTGCATTTAGTTGAACTTTTTGGGCGTGCTGAGCAGTTCGGTGTTAGTTTTATTAAAATATTTTGAGGTGGAACTAAACAGCGCATTTTCTCCGCCTTTTTCTATAAACACTTCTTGGTTTTTATAATGTAAAATCGCGATATTTAATTATTGATTGGTGGCCACAAATTTAGTTCTCATGAAAATAATACAATTAATCGTGCAGCCCTAAGTCAAACTGTTATTCTGTTTGTTTGTTTTTTTTTGTGTGTTTTTACTGTTATTGACAAGCACATTTTTTTAAAAACATTATTAGAAAAATTAACTCTTGTATTTGTTGCTATTAGTTTTTCCTACTATGAAAGTCAAATATATGTTTTTTGCTTTTTTCAAAACATTTTATTTGGTGTTTAATAGAAAAAATAAAAAAAAATTATAAAGATTTGGAACCATTTGAGGAGAGTAATTGTACACTAATTAAGCATATTTCCTCATATTTTAGGCTTTTTTGTTCATAATACAAATATAATACATGAAAGATCTCCCTTTCCAATGCATGCATGCATGCGTGCGTGCGTGCTGGAGAGGGGTGTGATTTTAGAATACATTTTGAATTATTCCAAGTGATCATTATGTTTTTACTTGAAATGCCCTTCATCTCTCGCTTTATTACGTAAACAGCAACTTTGCAAGGGCTATGGATTAACATCACAGCGCGAAAATGGTCCAACTTTTAATGAGATAATCTCAGTAACGTTCGATAAGGATAAACAAAACGAATAAATATCCTTAAATTGTGTGATGCCGTCTTCTGTTAATTTACATATTATTTTGGAGTTTATTTATCATGATGTGCCACTTAACATGAGATAAATTAACTTTAGCTAACGTTAAAGAATATTTATCGAGCTTATGGGTATACACTGACAACCACGCCGATGACATTTACATTTCCGACGATGAAACTGATAACTGATCTGAAACAATATATTAGAAATCCAATTATTACTTACCAAAATGCCTTGCTCCAGTTAGATCCACGACCGTTTGTGAAGTGCGTACAAGCGGCCGCCCGACCAATGGTCATGACTGCAATATCATATGGATAAACCCATAAAGCATTGCGCATTAGGCGCGCTTTTTCTCAAAGCAACCTGATTGGTAGATTTGGATTTTTGAATTTTTTCTGGTGTTTGTGCATGAGACAAGCAGCACAAAAACAATTGACTTAACATTTTAACACTCCCGTTTGTATGGTATATCATCATTGGTTAATAATAATATAATTAGCAAAATAATAATTTGAATAATAAAAAAAATATGTAATGTAGGGTAAATTTAGTTGCAACATACAAGAAAGGAATAGATTAATTCAAATAATTCAATCTTGATTGTTTCCTAGATTAAAATAAAGGCATTAGAAGATGCAAGCGGAAGATGGAATGACTGCGTATTGAAATATTTTTTTACTCGAAAAAATATTTTCATGTATTTTAAATGTGGTACCAGAAAGGCCAACCTTATGTGGGCCACAGATCAGTTTTGAACATCTGGGCCAAATACTACATTTGACATCTGGCCCATGTCTTGTCTGCCGCCTTCAAGACGGTGCCACCTCTGCCAAACCTGAACCATGTTTGGCCCACATGCTGTATGCCAGTGCCAGATGAATGCCTGATGTGCCAGATTTGTGCCAAATCTGGGCCAGAATTCTTTACTACCTGGGAAGCACACAGTATGCACTAGTGTCCGAACTCACATCAAACGCAGTAATGCAAGGTCGATAGGCTGGTGGCTGGCAATCAAGGATCGTAATAGCAGGCATGGGTCAGAGTAGCATTATGTCTGATTTCTTGGCAATTAATGGAAGAGACTGTGCAAGTTATGAAAACATCAACCTCAAGTCAACCTGCATTCTCAACCTGCATTCTCCCCACATCATTCTTCAAAACGATGTTTACCTGTTTAGAAATGGATCTTCTAAAAGTGGTAAATGCTTCTCTTCTATCAGGGATTTTTCCAAACTCACTTAAAACTGTAGTTGTTAAACCCCTCTTGAAGAAGAGCAACCTGGATAACACCCTATTGAGCAATTACAGACCAATCTCAAATCTCCCTTTTATTGGCAAAATCATTGAAAAAGTTGCTTTCAACCAGGTTAACAAGTTTTTAAACTTGAAGGGGTGTTTAGACAATTTTCAATCTGGTTTCAGAGCACATCACAGTACAGAGAGTGCTCTTAAAAAGATAATCAATGATATCCGCCTAAATACAGATTCAGGCAAGCTAACAGTGCTGGTACTGCTCGATTTCAGAGCTGCATTTGACACTGTCGATCACAGCATACTTCTGGTTGGGCTATCTGGCACGGTCCTCAAATAGTTTAGATCTTACTTTGAAGGAAGAGGTTACCATGCCAGTATAGGTGACCACAGGTCAAGGTGGACACCAATGACATGTGGAGTCCCACAAGGCTCGATTCTGGCACCTCTCTTGTTCAACCTTTACATGCTCCATCTGAGCCAAATAATAAAAAAGAACCAAATCTCCAACCACAGCTATGCTGATGACACTCAAATCTACCTAGCCTTACTGCCTAATGACTACAGCCCCATTGACACCCTCTGCCAATGCATTGATGAAATTAACAGTTGGATGTGCCAAAACTTTCTTCAGTTAAATAAAGAGAAAACTGAAGTCATTGCGTTTGGGAACAGAGATGAGGTTCTCAAGGTGAATGTGTACCTTGGCTTTATGGGTCAAACAACAAAAAATAAGGTCAAGAATCTTGGTGTGACTCTGGAGTCAGATCTGAGTTTCAATAGTCATGTAAGTTAATAAATCAGCATACTATCATCTCAAAAAATTTGCAAGAATCAGATGCTTTGTTTCCAGTAAAGACTTAGAGAAACTTGTTCATGCTTTTATCAGCACTAGGGTGGATTACTGTAATGGACTCCTCACTGGCCTTCGTAAAAAGACAGTCAGACAGTTGCAACTCATCCAGAATGCTGCAGCCAGAATTCTGACCAGAACCAGAAAATCAGAACACATCACACCTGTCCTCAGGTCTTTACACTGGCTGCCAGTTACATTCAGAATAGACTTTAAAGTATTATTACTTGTCTATAAATCACTAAATGCTGCTGGAATTAGCAACCAGAAATGATCAGATGTGCTCCAACATTAGGCACATTCAAATCAACACTGAAAACACATCTGTTGAGCTGTGCCTTTACTAAATGAGCACTGTGCTGCGTCCGACAGATCGCACTATTATGTTTTTCTCTTCTTCTTCATTCTTTTATATCACATTTTACCTGTTTTTACCTTTTTTATTATTTTTATTATTTGTTTTTATTTTTATTTTACTTGTTTCTTTTATTCTTGTTTATGTAAAGCACTTTGAATTGCCACTGTGTATAAAATGTGTTATATAAATAAACTTGCCTTGCCTTGCCTTGCCTTCCAACCAGTGTCTCCACTCCTCCATGGCTGCCTTTATGGCGAGAAGTTCACGATTACCCACATCCTAGTTTCTTTCAGCAGAATTGAGTTTGCGTAAGAAGGCGCAAGGATGGAGTTTCTTTGAGTTGTCTTGTTTCTGGGATAGTACGGCTTCAATGCCAGTGTTGGATGTGTCAATTTTAAGGGTGAATGGCAAATTAGGATCAGGTTGGCAGAGGATTGGGGCAGAGTAGAAACGGGATTTGAGGTGGTTGAATGCCCAATTTGCGTTATTGCTCCAACTTAATCGGGTCCTGCCTCCTCGGACCTTGGAAGTGAGCGGGGAGGCTACTGTACTGAAATTTCTTATAAACCTTCGCTAGAAGTTTGCAAATCCCAGGAAACGTTGTAGCTCCTTTACAGTATTGGGTTTGGGCCAGTTAATGACTGTATCCACCTTCCTCTCAACCATAGCCACGCCCTCTCCGCTGATAATATAGCCTAGGAACGAGATACAGGACTGGTAAAACTCACACTTGGATAACTTAGCGTATAATTGATTCTCCATGAGCCTCTTCAAGACCGCTTTGACATGGTTGGTGTGCTCTTCAAGGGAATTGGAATAGAAATCTAAATCTAAATACCTCGTTTATGAAAGCCTGGAAGATGGAAGGACTGTTTGCTAGGCCGAAGGGCATAACCAAATATTCATAGTGACCATTTACAGTAGAAAAGCTAGTCTTCCATTCGTCCCCTTGCCTTATTCTGATGAGGTTATAAGTAGGCTTGCCACGATAGACGGTGTAGATGGTGATACCGGTTTTTAGACACAACACCGGCGACATCACTTTTCCACCGTGACACCTTCTCCACATTTGTTTTTTTAAGTATTCTTTTTTTTTAAATATTTATTTGAATTAAATGGGAAACATAATTCTAAATAATTTACTTAAGATGAGAGCATGCACTATAATTATCATCTGAACATAGCTACAATGCGTCATATTTCATTTATCACATGAAGAGAACGAGAGGAGTCGAATTTACAGAAAGAGGATGGCAGACAATTAAGTGTCAAAACGCAATGCAAAAGCGCCTGTTTGGCAATATTTTGGGTTCAAACCAAATGCAAAAAGAGAACCTGAAGACGGTAATGAGGCAATCTGCAAACTTTGCCTGACAAAATTGGCAGCAGTTGGAGGAAACACAACTAATTTATACATGCACTTTCAGCACACGTACTTGATGTTCAACTATGGGTGGGTCGCGGGTAGATAAGATCAATAGCCATAAATACGCAACGCATACTCTCATTTGGTCACGTGACCATCATCTTACAATGTTTAATAATACATTATCTTTTTTTTTATTAAAACAAGAGTGATTAAGCAATCACGCGCCATTTATAAGCCAACTGCAGAAAAACAAAGCAACTATCGCGGTAACAACTTTTTCTGAAGTTCAGCTGTACTTTTTTGCACTTAATCATTATGCGTTTAATGTTAAAAAATCCATAAAGAATAGGCCAACAAGAGTGTAGGCTAACCTGTGAGTGCACGCGTCTTTTATCACTGAGGACGATCTCTTCAAAAACCGAAAGTTGCTTCGTCTGTCTGGCGGTATTTCGGCTTTTAATAAATGAAGTTTATTTAGATGAGCCTATATTAAAAATTGCAATATCATCTCTCTCGCTGTCATCCAGACACAGACGCCTAACGAGTCAAGTCGCAAAACTGAGACTGGTGCAGCTGACAGGTAGAATAGCTGAAGCCTTTGCTAAATCTGTCTAAATACAGCACTGAAATTAACAGGCATAAATGTCTTTGGGCCAGAAAGTCTATATCTATAAGTCTATATATATATATATATATATATATATATATATATATATATATATATATATATATATCTTTATCTGTCAAAACGCAATTGGAGCCAATGTTATGGAGGAGCTGTGTAGCCTATAAATTATATTATTTTTAATAAAATGAAAACCAAAATAAACTATTCATTGCATTTTTCGTTTGATAAAAATATACGTAAATGAAAAAAATCAAAGGGTGGCTAATTTGTAGTAATGTGTTTTAATATTAATAAAAATATGCTCTGCTTATTTAAGCTTAACGGTTAGCCTATACGCCGCCAATATAGGCAAGCCATTCAAAAAATATTATTTTACTGTGTACTGGGTTATAATGTATATTTTACAATAAAAACGAAAAGTAGCATGTCAAGCTGTCATTTAAAACATGCAATTCATAACACACCAGAGCTGTAGACCTACAGTCTGTGCAGTCCGTAAACTTACAGGGTGGTGTTGGTCACTGCGCACCACATTATTTAACTCTAACATCTCTGAGGGAGATTATGTTACCCGATAGACAACATTACTTGAGGGATTTTAAAAATAAAAGGTACTTCAAAAAAAGGAACAACACGCAAATTGGCAACAAATAAAATTAATAATAAAAATCTTGCCCGTGTATGCTGTGTATTCCGCCACTGACAGTGACAGAGCTCAAAGCTGGTATCGTTATAACCAAAAGCAAGATCATATCATTATAAATATTCCATAACAATACTTATTGAAATATTTATATAGCTGTTGTAAATGAGGGCGATGCCAATCCTCTCATGCACCACCAGAGGGAGCCATC